TAATTCTAATTCTAATTCTAATTCTAATTCTAATTCTAATTCTAATTCTAATTCTAATTCTAATTCTAACTAGGATGATTGAAGGCCTGGAGACTAAAACATACGAAGAACGGTTGCAGGAACTGGGCATGGCCCATCTAGAGAAAAGAAGGACTAGGGGCGAAATGATAGCAGTCTTCCAGTATTTGAGGGGCTGCCTCAAAGAAGAGTGTGTGTGTGTGTGTGTGTGTGTGTGTGTGTGTGTGTGTAATGAATTTCCTAGAGCACCAGAATGGATGGCAGTAGCAATCTTCTGCTCCTTCCCCAGGAGACCTCAACACGAAGTGCTCTCCCGGTAGAACAATGCTTAGTCAATCCATATGGGAACATCTCCTCAGCCAGAGAATGACTCAGGGACCCGTTTTGCTGATGGACCAGTTCTCTCTTCCCCGAGGAGCTGAGCTTGGCCTTGATCTGCCCTCACCGTCAAACATTCGGAGGCCTTTCCCGCCTGTTTACATAGCGCTGGGCCATTATCCCAGAAAGCAATTATAACTCTTGTAATCAGATCAAGCGTAAAATAAGACCCGAGGGTAAGGTTGGAAGAAAGAAAGAAAGAAAGGAAAAAACACCTGGGTGAACTGAGACTAGGCCTTTTCCAGCACGGATGTTAGATTCCCGCCAGAAAAAACGAAGCCAGCTTGGGTCGTGAAATCCAAGGGAGGCTAAATTATGACTTCCGCCACCCATTCCTTCTCAATTTCTCCCCTTACTAATCACATTTGAAATCATCCATCTCACTCACGGACTGTTCTGGCGGAGGTGGCAGCAGAGTCAGACAGTGAGGAGGGTTGGGGAGGAAGATGGGCCAGTCCTGGAGTCTGGGGAAGGCTCGGACGAGGGCTCTGCATCGGAGGCAGAGAGGAGGCCGAGGCCGTCTGGCAGTTTCTCAGCTGCCTTCGGAGCTAGACAGCAGTGAGGCAGAGGAACAGGAGGAGCCTGTTCCCAGTGTGTGCATGCGCCAGAAGAAAAGAACAGCTCAGAAATCAGGGCCGACTTGGGAGTAAAGCCACAGGTGGACAATGAACGGCCCCTCCCATAGGAAATAAACGAGGAGCGAAAAGGGAGTGGGCTTTTTGCAGGAAACAATTCGTTCATTTCAGGAGTGTGAAGATCTGTCCATGAATCTCAGAGACTCTGTGCCAAAGTCTTTCCTTGCACAGCACCTGGTTTGGAAAATATTTCCACGGCAGCTTTCCAAGCTAGATAAGGTCTGTGGTGATAAATACTCCTTTGAAAGAGTGTTTGCCAGTCCTTGGCTGAAGGTGAAGGAGAGGAATTTACATTCATTTAATAAAAGGGGTTTTGTCGGGACCAGGAAACTGCCTCCTGGGGAAGCCTCAGTCAGAACACAGATTGACTCCCCTATCACTATTTTATTGGTATAGCAAGAAAAACCATACACCTCTAAATGAGTTGGACTATGTACATTCTCAAAAGATGCCTCTTAATTTTCCTCATGAAAGGGATGGAGCAGGATTCATTAGATTTGGCCTCAGATCCATACATTTCACACCAACTTTTCTAAAATATAAACTCAGACTTTTGCGGGCAGGTTTTATTTTGGATATCTTCCTTCCTTCCTTCCTTCCTTCCTTCCTTCCTTCCTTCCTTCCTTCCTCCTTCCTTCCTTCCTTCCTTTCCCCTCTTCTCTTCTTTATCTCCTCCTCTCCTCTCTTCTGTTCTTCTGTTTCTCTCCTCTCCTGTTTCTCTCCTCTCCCCTCTTTTTTCCTTTCCTTTGTTTTTCCCTTCCCTCCTCCCCCTTTCCTAACTTCCCCTTCCTTTCATTTTCTCCCTTTCCAGGAGAATAATAAATACAACGGAGTCCTCTTCTCTTTTGCAACCAGGAAGAAGAGAATCGAAACCTCCCCCTCCCATTGCCAACGAGAGCAAAATCATCCCGCAGAGTAGGCCAAACGAGAAGATCAAAGCTACCGGAGCCACCGTGCTGTGCCAGAGAAAGTGCTAAGTTTTCAAACGATGTTTCGTTCTTATTAAAAAATAATTTGGGCCCGAGGGGGTGAAGCCGTCACAAACCACTTCCAAATGAAAACCCAGGGCACTGAGGGTTGTGTCTAAGGTAGCAACAGTATAAAAGGGCTCCTTGTCCGAGATCCTCCAACAGCTTCATCTCCTCCTCTTGATCGCTTCTCGTAGAGACTTTGGTAAGTCATTGGGAGATGTTGTTGTTGCCCGTCGTTGAAATGTACTTTCAGGCTTAAACTTCTTCGGTTTTTCCCTCCCCACACAAAGTAATTCAGGAAAAGCCACCGATGGATCCAAGCTGCAACCCCCCCCAGGAAGGGCATGGATCAGGGGTGAAATTCAGCAGGTTCGGACGGGTTCTGGAGAACAAGAGCCAAGGTGGCGCAGTGGTTAAATGCAGCACTGCAGGCTACTGCTAGATCAGCAGGTCAGCGGTTCAAATCTCACCGGCTCAGGGTT